AAGAAAAAAAGGTTTGACTGATATAGTTGCAAAACGGAAACATATTGTCTATCTGTATCCTCTGCAAGTAATTTGTTCACAGGGATGCAAGTACATGTTTTCTGCAAATGAAGTTCAGTGATTAAATAGCATTGCATTAATTAAAGATAAAAAAATTGCTTTCTATTCTTTCTTAATTACTCTTCATTACCTCGTAAGACTGGGGGCAATTTATTGTATTCCTCAATTCGCAAACATCATTCTGTAATTTATACTAGATTAAATTTTTTTATTTTTATTTACAAATTACATAATACAGTCTTAATCTCAGTGGATGCAAGTTTGTGGTTTTGTGTGTCTGAAAAATACCAGGCATCACACTTTTACCAGGCATCACACTGTTACCCCTCTAAATTTATTAATTATCCATCACACCCCCTGGGGGAGTGAAGTTAAACTCTGTACCAGGCATAGTTTTGGAGTTGCTGTAATATTATATTGTTGTAATTTACCATAACACTGTAGTTGTTGTGAGATGTTACCAGAGATAAGGTTTTCACTCTTGCTCTTTCAAAATGGTCTTTATTCCTAAAGGGAAACTCCACTTATTTTTCATAATTTCTGCATATTTGAGTCATTGAGATATAAGCAAAGTCATTCACAGTGGTTTTATGTGAAATGGTTCATTGCAAAGAAACTTACTGACTAACCAAGGGCAATGTCTACAACAAAAAATATAGCCGTTTTATTTATTGTCGATAAGGACCAGTGAACCATTTTAGATGTAATGTTGATCTAAGCACGTTTAAGTAGTGATTCATAAAATGTGAATTTGACATAAAAATATGTGTAGGTGATTGTTTTCAACCTGACATTTGAACTGCAGTGCCAGAGTGTTACAGGCATTATATTACAGATTTGTGAAAGCTGTCTTTCACATCACAATCACATGCCAATGCTGAGAATGTATCTTACGAACTGATATAGAATAAAATCTAATTAAACTAAAATTTTGAAAATAGAATTCCTGTTTAAATTTTTTTCAAGGGCCTTAGAAATCAGGACTTTCTTGATACACTTATTTCATGTTAGTTTCAATGAACTTATGATTTATCATTACATCACTTGCTCAGGTGCAGTTTTCCTGGAGCAGCTCATGTAGAACCCAGTAATGTTATAATTTCCCAATAAAGTAATAACCAGCAGAAATATAATAAAATTTTACACTTAACTTTTTTAAAAATGTAATAAAATATAAGATTTGTACAGATAATGTAATAGCTTATTACATTATTGTGAAGACCTGAAGGTACCACCGTCTTTCCTGGTTGTGTTCTGGTCACATCTGACTGATTACTACTGTTTTTCTCTACCATAAATATAATTTTGTTCATTTGATTTTCATAGGAATTTATTACTTTGCCCAGGCTAGGACAGTTACAGTTGTAAGCAGAGCCAGTCTTACAAGAAGCCTTGAAAGTGGAGGCTCTTTCTGAAAAGTATATTGCTTCATTGATGCTCACCTTGTTTCAAGCTGGGTGTACACCACAAAAGTATTATGGGAGACCATATGCAATTCATGTAAACCATATTTTTAAAAGAAAATAATACAAAGACAACATATCAAATGTTGAAACTGAGAAATTTTATTGTTTTTTGAAAAACAAATTCCCATTTTGAATTTGATGCCAACAACACATTCCAGAAAAGTTGGGACAGGGGCATGTTTACCAGAGTGTTTCATTACCCTTTCTTTTAACAACACTCTGTAACCATTTGGGAACTGAGGAGACCGACTGCTGTAGTTTTAAAAGTGATAGGATTTCAGCTGCTCAACAGTTCAGGGTCTCCTTTGTTATATTTTTCATTTCATAATGCACCAAATATTTTCAGTGGTGACAGGTCTGGACTGCAGGCAGGCCAATTTAGCACCTGGACTCTTTTAATACAGGGCAATGCTGTTGTAATACAGGCAGAATGTGGTTTAGCATTGTCTTGCTGAAATAAACAAGGCCTTCCCTGAAGAAGACGTCGTCTGGATGGCAGCATATGTTGCCAAAACATGCATATATCGTGCAGCATTAATGGTGCCTTCACAGATGTGCAGGTCACCCATGCCATGTGCACTAATGCACCCCTATACCATCATGAATACTGGCTTTTGAACTGTGCACTGATAACAAGCTGAGTGGTCATTAGCCCGGAGGACACAGCGTCCATGATTTCCAAAAGAATATCAAATGTTGATTTGTTGGACCACAGGACACTTGTCCACTTCCCCTCAGTCCATTTTTAATGAGCTCTGGCCCAGAAAAGGTGGCAGCATTCCTGGATCCTGTTTATATATGTTTTCTTCTTTGCTTTTAGAGTTTTAATTAGCCTGGAGGACACAGCGTCCATGATTTCCAAAAGAATTTCAGATGTTGATTTCTTGGACCACAGGACGCTTTTCCACTTCCCCTCAGTCCATTTTAAATGAGCTCTGGCCCGGAAAAGGTGGCAGCATTCCTGGATCCTGTTTATATTTGGTTTTGTTTTTGTGTTTTAGAGTTTTAATTAGCATTTGTGAATGCAGTGCTGAACTGTTTTCACAAACAGTGGTGTTCCTCAGTCCATGCAATGATTTCCACTACAGAATCATGTCTGTTTTTAATGTAGTACCGCCTTAGGTACCCAAAGATCACAGCTAGAAAATACTGGTTTTTGGCCTTGTCCCTTGCATACAGAGATTCTACATACAGAGTTTCTGAATCTTTTAATTTTATTATGTACTGTTGATGATGAAAAGCAAAAGTTCTTTGCTGTTTCACGTTGAGAAACGTTATTCTTGAATTGTTGCACTATTTGCTCGTGCAGTCTTTCACAGAGTGGTGAACCCCTCCTGATCTTTACTTCTGAAAGACTCAGCCTCTCTGGGATACTTTTTTATACCCAATCATGTTACTGTTAATCAACCACCAGTTGTTTTTTTAGCATTACACAACTTTACCAGCCTTATGTTGCCCCTGTCCCAACTTTTTTGGAACATGTTGTTGGCATTAAATTCAAAATGGGCAAATATTTTTCAAAAAACAATAAAATTTCTCAGTTTCAACATTTAAAATGTTGTTATTGTACTATTTTCAATGTCATATTGGGTTTAAATGATTAGCACATCATTGCACTTTGTTTTTATATACATTTTGCACAGCATCCCAACTTTTTTTGAAATGGGGTTGTATACAGAACTCATAGTTCTAAAACCATGGTCTTTACTAAATTTACTTTGAAAAACCATGTCTTTTGGGTGTGTATTACATAAATATTACATTATAATATTGTTACATTATCACGAGACATTGTATTACATGATTGTGCAAGTTATTACATTATTGTGTCTTATTACATTTTTTAATAAGTGGAAATTAAGTGCAAGTTAAGTGCAAATTTCTGGGGTTATTACATTATTGGGGAATCTTTAAAATATTGGGTTCTACGGCTTATGCGGACAGTAATGTGCATAAGTAATAGTATCATGATAGTTTTAAGGAAATGTTGTCCTAAAATTTGAGATCTTGCTAATTTAAGCAAGAAACATATTGTTTGTAGTCTATCACCTGGCTTACTGTAACAGACATTGTTAGTTTTGTTGTGAGGATTTGAATAGTCTCTCTTCTTACTTTAAAAAGAGAGTAGAGAGAGACAATACTTTTATTCTAGGGTTAGGGTTAGTATTAAACTTTTTTATTTGTATAGCTTAATTTAGGTATTATTTATAAAATATTAATTATGTATTATTGTTATTGTGATAATTTTTGTTATCATGATAAACAGTATGCCTTTATGAGCATATCATAGATATTATCTATACTTTGAGACCACTGACCAACTACATGTTTTGTCAAATAGAGCATAGTTAATCCTGTTTAATTAGAATTTGTGCAGTACAGTATGTGAAAAGAGTTTCGGATACCCAGAGTTTTAATGGCAGTTTTTAAACGTGGCACTTTTAGTTTACTGTGTCTGTGGGTCAAAATATTGTGACACAAATAGTGTATTGTAAAATATAAAGTAATGTGATATGATTTCTTTGCCAGTCTCTACTTCTATATTCACTACTAATAGTAGTGTACTATTTTAACATGCTATTTAGTGTGGTGGTATGCAGACGCCACCAACATGTCAGTTTAATGATATGACCTAGTTGCCCTTTGCAAAGTTTGGAGAGATTAAGATGCTTTGCACCCTCATAGACCACACTAACTACATACAGAAGAGGTTAACCCATCACGTTCTGCATACACATTTCACTGTTACAGTGAAATACTGAGAAGCTCAAAGCACTTCTAAATGCGTATAAACAACAGCAGTGGAGCGTCACACGATTCACTGATAGTGGGTGGGAGGAAATTTCTGAATCACATTTAGCTGTAAGAAAAATTACAAAGGTTTATGGAAAATATGCCGGTAATTTTTCGTCAATGCATTACTTATTTTTTAATTAAATTTACAGTGTAAAATACATGTAACATTCCATAAATTTTAATTCAGTTAATTTGGAATTGACCTAAACACAAATGCATTCTTTCAGAACCAGTGTTTGTTGGAAAAGCTTTACCGAATGTTGGCCACAATCCCAGTTATCCTTGATGTATTCTAACAGTTAGACCTTTTACAGCCACAAAATACATAGTGCATAAAAAACACTCTAAGTGTAGGTATTTTCACAAAATGTCATTGTTAGATTGAACATGATTTTGCCAGTGTTCTGTAAAGCAAGTGTAGCAGCTGTTGCTATGAACTGAATTTCCATAGCATACATTGATATGCTGCCCTATGTAAGTGATACTATAATGGTTTATTTGTGTATATTTACCATCCTTATTACATATTAGTAGAAAGACACTGTTCTTACTGTACTTGTTTGTATTGCTTTGGAATATTACTCAGTAGGCCAGTGTGTGAATGTGTATCTCTCTAAAATCTCTTTCTCTCTTTTCCCCTCTCTCTTTCTCTCCACCTCTCTCTCTTTCTGTCTTTAGGGTTGATTCGTCTACAGGAGCTGATTAAGGCTCCCTCCAGATACAACATCCGGCTAAAGATTCGCCAGCTGCCTGCAGAGACCAAGGACGCCAAACCACTCCTTAAGGAAATGAAAAAAGCAAAAGAATTCCATGTCATCTTTGACTGTGGCCATGAGATGGCTGCCTGGATACTCAAACAGGTTTCTCCAGTCCCTCAGATTTACCACTCTGCTCTTTCTTTCTCTCTCTCTCTATGTTCTCTTTCACTTACTCATTCTCCAATGTTTTTTGGTCTTCCTATGAAGCTGAATTTTTTTGTCACTAATGTGTAACTAGTTCAAATACTTCTGTGCAGAACAAGATTTCTGTGCAGAACACTTGCACAAAATGCTTACATTACAGAGTTATCAATTTACAATATATTGAAAAAAGGAAAAAGATAATTAAAAGGAAAAATTAAGGACAGCGCCTATTTACTGTAAAGGTAAACCATATCTATGCTTAAGTTTAGCATGTAAAGAATGATGATACATACACCTAGACACAATTACGGAAACTACATTGGAACAATTCTGTTTTTGTAGCACTTCTGTGAAGTTACTCTGAAAGGAACACTAATCTTTAGCTTGTACATTATAGAGAAGGATAATTACACTGAGAAAGATTCTTTGCATTCATTTTGTTATTTTAGGGAAACTTTTTGGAACCTAGAATAAATATATTTGCATGTGCTTCGAAAAGCTGCATTTTATATTTTTGACTTTAGTTTGTCGTTTTGCCCTTAATTCTAACTGTTTGAACAAACAGCAAAATGAATAACTCTGACTTCACTGTTTTAATACATTTGCTGAGTCCTCTAGCTGTCCAGTCCTGTTCCACATGTTAGAATCTATTAGCAATCTATCATTATGAGAGCAGCATCCCAAAATGTGAATATACAGCCCCGTTTCCAAAGATGGGACGCTATACAAAGACAATAGTACAAAGACAACATATCAAACAAAGAAATTTTATTGTATTTTTTTTTAAAAATTCCCATTTTAAATTTGATGCCAGCAGCACATTTCAAAAAAGTTGGGACAGGGACATGTTTACCACTGTGTTGCATCACCTCTTCTTTCAACAACACTCTGTAAGCGTTTGGAAAGTGAGGAGACTAGTTGTTGCAGTTTTGAAAGTAAAATGTTTTACCATTTTTCCCATGCAGTGATTTCCACTACAGAATCATGTCTGTTTTTATTGCAGTGCCACTTGAGGGCCTGAAGATTACGGCCATCCAGTATTGGTTTTCAGCCAATGCCCTTACATGCAGAGATACAGAGATTTTTCTGGATTCTTAGAAAGTTTTAATGATATTATGTACCACAGATAATGAAACCCCAAGTTCTTTGCTATTTTATGTTGAGAAACATTATTCTTGAATTGTTGCTCATGCATTCTTTCACAGAATAGTGAAGCTGTCCCCGTCTTTACTTCTGAAAGACTCTGTGGGATGCTCTTTTTATACCCAATCATGTAACTGACCTGTTGACAATTAACATAAATAGTTGGGAGATGTTCCACCAGGTGTTTTTATTAGCATTACACAATTTTACCAGTCTTTTGTTGCCCCTTTTCTTTAAACGTGTTGTTGGCATCAAATTAAAAATGGGCATATATTTTTCAAACAATAAAAATTCTATTTCAACAAACATCCTGTTTTTTATGTATGTTTTGCACAGCGTCCCAATTTGTTTGGAAACAGGGATATAATTAAATCAGACAATTTGCCCAGAGGGCATTAGGAGGAGAAATTACAGATGATATGATTAAATACAGTCACATCAATAAGACCATGCTTGCTGCTGAGGGAGACTAAATCTAAATTTGTCAACCATAAAACCTATGCTTAGAGGGGTTATTTTCACTTTGCCCCAGCATGATCATCTAAAGACAATGCACTGTGTAATTCCAGTTCTAGGATTTTGTCTAGGAAGTTGCTTTCAGGTAAAGTGTATTTACTCATCATATTCTGGTATTTTGTATTATGGTCTATAGGCTCTATCTATGGGGATGATGACAGAGTATTATCACTACATCTTCACAACACTGGTAAGATACACAACACATATTTGACTGATATACTATGCTTGACTTGCTTTGTTCTGTATGCTGTCTAATGTTATACACCACTATTCCATTATACACAAAGAGTTTTAAAAGCAGAACTTTATATGTATCTCATCTTCAACTTTACAAAAAAGCTCTCTCTGCTGAAAACTGCTCTCATTTATACTTCTTTTTTTTTGATGCAGCTGACTGTAGAGAGTAGATATATACTGAATGAATGAAAAAGCTGTCTTTCTCGGAGAGCTTGGAGCATGAGTATTATGTATCAAACATCTGAGTAAGAGTTTTGATCTAGCAACTGTTAACCTGTTTTGATGAACTGTATTTATTAACTCTAGCTTTTTCAAACATTTTGTTAATGTTTATTATTATTATTATTATTATTATTATTATTATTATTATTCATAGTAGTAGTAGTATCAAGATATTGGAATGTGGATTCAAAACGTTTAATTAGTGGTGGAACCAATCTGATACCAGGTTTTAATACTGGGACGTGCAGGAAGGTTTAAGAGACGTGGTGGTTATAGCTATATGTAGCCTATGCATATATATCCTTTTGTGGTAGTCTGTTCCCAGCTTCCATACAAAGGAATCAAACCTTTAAGTATACTTGTGTATAACAAAAAAAAATAAATAAATAAATAGAATGGACTGTGTGCTTATCCATAATTGCTGCACATGAAAGGACATATGAAGCCAACTTAAGTAACAGCCTTGTCCACTGTACAGTATTTAGTCTTTGGTTGTCACTGTATGTGTGGTTGGATTTGGATATATTTGTGTGTGCTGGGCCCCTGGATGCTCCCTCGAACATTGTTTCTGTCTGTGAGAAATGATGCGCACACACAATCTTGGAGGACATTCGGCAGTCATGCCAGCTGTCTTAAGCTGACAGACTACACGCATACTCTCTCTGTGTACAGACACAGTCAGAGTTTTATGGAACACACAGCTCTGTATAAAACAACTCTCTGCAGTTGCACATTTCACACTATAGAGGAGAAACAGGATAACCGTTAATGCTCAAATGAAGGCTACACCATGACATATACAACCCACATACAACATATATTATTTCCAAAATGAAAGTGGTATGTTTAATTTGTTTTGATATTTAACAAAGGAATTACTATGCTGACTTGTTAGTTTGACATTTGAGATATAGTTCTTCAAAAAATCAAATCAAAATGACTCGTTGCCAAAATGATTTTCCCCTTTCACCAAAACGTAATTTGGGTCCAAAGTTTGCTTCTGTAGTTTTGCACTGGAACTACAAGACTAATGTAGCTAAACTAATGTAGCTGAAAGTAGGGCTAGGCAATCTGACAGTAATTATTATTATTGTGATAAATTATCACAATATGCCACAGTAAGTTTTATTTACAAGAAGAGAATGTTGTGGATATTGTCAATACTTAAAAACACTTCCCAACTACATTTGATTACAAAGAGAGCACAATTAGTGCTGTTTTATTGGATTTTGTGCAGCATTGTATATGAAACATTAAACATAAATAATTGTTTTCAGAAGTCTTGATAGTGTTTTGTTGGTATTTCTTTTCCAATTTATCAGATGTCAGAAAAAATATATATTATCACATATCATGTAGGAGTACGATAACAGCTACGTGAAGCATGCATGAGTCCCAAACCCCGCCTCCCGGGCCCCACCTCCTGTGCCCTGATCGAACATGAGGCACAGTCCAGCCCGGGCCCGGGAGGCAGGGTTCAGGACTTGTGTGCCACCTTCATGCTTCTCATGGCTGTCGTCGCACTCCTGCCATCTCTCGCAGTAGACGTCCTCCTAATGCTTTCCCGCCCTCTCTTGCACCCGTTGTCAGTACTTGTGGGTCGGGTGACTGGCATTGTTACATTTCTTTGTAATGCTATTCTAAGCAGGTCTATCCCAGTTTCTACACGTTATAAATATTTATGCATTGCCGTAGGCTGATATGTGCATGAAGAATATTGGGTATCAACATTGGCTCATAAGTCCCTGTTTACGCACACCAGTTATTATTGTGCAAACTGCATACCTAAATCATCACTCTTGCTTCAAACCATGTTATGTGTTAAGTAATCGTTAGTAGACTCATTTGTGTGGTTTCTGACACTCTAAGATATATAGTGCTTTCATTCTAGAGGCAGCTGCTAACTAGTCACTGCCTTCAAAGGCACCTCTCTTGTTGGGCAGCATTTTAACCAAAAAGGAACCTTAGCTGGCATCTCATTTGGGTCAGTGCTTCAGAACCGTCAAACGTCATAACTTTCACTGCACTATAGACGTTTATACCTGTTTACTCGCAGTTACTGGTTAACTTACACTCTCCTCAGTGCATAAGGATGGCTCCCGAACCTGCAGCAGCTGTTTTCCTACGTTGACATTGTTGTGGAAATTTGTGCATGGCGAACAGAACTGTCGTTATATACTTGACTCTGGGCCCCAGATAAATACAGAAAATTGTGACTACTAGTTTGTGAGTCATTTCAATTCATTCACTGTCCTCATCCACCTTAACGAACCTGCTTTATTTCTAACACACAAAGTATAAATAATGCATATAATTTTGTACAATATGCCCTCAGAAAAAAGGAGCGCACACAATCTGTTAAGCTGGCTAATATGCATTTTATTATATGCATTTTCATCTGATTTATGAGCTCCTAGTCTGAAATTTAGCTGTCAACATTTACCTAATGTGACTGTGGTAAGCACAGCAATACAATACAAGCAGAGCAGACAAAAATTAGCATTTGTGGTATTTATTTTAAAAACATTTTATTTCTGAACGTCTACATCATCCAGTAAGTTACAGTATTTTTTATCTTTCAGGGAGAACGTCAGTCTACAGCACTGGTTCTGCCGTGTTTCCTCCCACATACGCTCGGCAAGTGAGCTGCTTTCAGCCGTTCAGCGCAGTTTTCTCTCCATAACCGTTCCTCTTCCTCAGCCCCTCAGCGAGTGCCTCTCTGCTTCTGTAACGTTAGTAACGTTTACAGAAAAACTCCCTGAGTATAGAATCGAATTGATAATTATTTACATACAAAACATGCTACTAAACAGTGAACAACCAATATTTTAAACTGGACTCTCTCTTGTTTTGAGTAGCCAGCGCGTTTACATAGCTAGCCCGCTAGCTAAGCTAACTAACATTGGCTTCACCTACCGAGTTACAAATGCAGCCAATTTCTAGAGATCTACAAACACAAATATGTTCAATACTTTATACAAATACAACAATCAATCAAAATAGTAAAGACAGAAGTCAAAAAATAACTTACATTTGACTCCTCAGTCAGCAAAAAATGGGGGCTTTGTCCACCATGTTTATCCAACTGAAGCGGTGGAGCTCTTGGCCGATGAACAGGTGAACAGTATTGTGGGATTGCCTTCGCTGAGAAGGATACCCACGATGCTTTCTTCAGATTTGGTCAAAATAAGGCACCTTAGAAGGCAGCTGCCTTATGCTACCTTTCAAATGGGACAGGCTTTGTCTCGGGAGTGCGCAAATGCTGCCTTAAAATGCTGCCTACTTAGACAGCTGCCTCCTGATTGGAACACACCAATTCTGTTATCAATAAAAATTCAGGCTTTTCTGTATTTTATAGACACTTTTCTCCAATTTATAGATAACAGAATGTCATACAGCATCAGAGCAATCGTGTGATGATTTAGGCATGCACTTTGCATAGTGCTATTACCTGTGAACTACATTAGCATCATATCTCCAGTCTCGGCTGATCAGTTGTGCCAAACTATACCTTTAATATTGCAAATACTAATTGTGGTGATTTGTGCTCTGATAATGTATATTATTATTATATGTTATTATTATATGTTTTTGTATGCTATCTCAGTTATCTTTTTGTATATTATCTCAGGACCTTTTTGCATTGGACATGGAGCCGTATCGCTACAGCGGTGTAAACATGACTGGTTTTCGAATCCTAAACACAGAGAGTGCTCAGGTGTCCTCTATTGTAGAGAAATGGTCCATGGAGAGACTGCAGGCTCCTCCTAAGCCCGACTCAGGACTGCTGGATGGATTTATGACGGTAAGCGACTGAAAACATAAAAAAAGGTAGGTGTGGTTAAGCCTGTGCCTCCACTGTCAACAGATTTGGGTGAACTCGTGAGAGCAGCGGGAGGACAGCACCAACAATCCTAGTTTACCAGAATACTCTAGGTCCATGAACCCCCAGATCTGCACCTTTTATCTAACAGGAAAAACGTATTACCAAAGGCTTGACTAAACAGGTAGTCATAAATTACTTGAAAAATCTGTTTCCATCACCATTATTTGCATTTCTCCTTTATTGATGAACCAACTTTTTCAGCTCATCCAAACAATAAAACATTTTTTGTGATACATCTGAATAGACAGGCACACAACCTAACCCACACACAGACTCACCATCTTATACATGCACAATTTGGCTGTGTTAACACACTCAACACCCAGCCTCTACAGGCAGCCAATCCTTTGGCCAAAGTCTCCACATGGTGTTAGCGGTAATGACCGTTTATCGTCATTGCCTCCCACTCTCTCACTCTTGAAAAAAAGCCTCCCTGCCAAAAGCATGAGGACCTGTCGAGGGAGGGAGGGAGAAGGGAGAGAGAGAGAGAATTGAATATAAATAAAGGCTTTTCACAGTACCTTCCCAAGGAGTGTGTGATAAGGTGATTTTAGAGTGAAGCCAATAGAGTGAGGTGGCATGCCAGCAATGGTCACGTTCAAGGTCTTTATTTTCTAATTCAGTTAGTGTGCTTTCACAAGCCAGTTTCAGCAAACCATATAGACAGAGACAGACTCTATACCCGCTTCCATATAAGCACTCAAAGGATTCAGATATTCGTAACTGTTAGGAGAAAAAAAAACTTCACAAGTCAGACTGTCTCTGCTGCCTTGCAAGAATTTTTCTACTAAGGTGCTTTCAGAAAAGCCAGCCTGTCTTTTCACTCTTCCTTCATGCAGTAAATGAGGTAAGTAAAGACATTATGGAGCATATTAGGATATCACCATCAATTATAATAGTAATGGAGTAATCTATGGAAAAATAACAATCATGCTTAGCCTTTCAAAGATATCAAAAAAGAAACTTAAAAACTTAAAAAATAGAACAATGAAACACTTTGTGATTATACATGCAAATGGGTGTGCAAAACAGAATCCAGTAGGAGGATCTAAAATATGCATTATAATCATGTAAATAGATTTTTCCCCATTTTTTTTAATTGAGTAGTTATGACAGCCCTAGAGGATCATTACTCCTGTGTTCTTTCCTTCTTTTTGAAAGGTTGTGGTTTGCAGTGGCATGTTGCTTGATTTGATTTAAGGCCCACTCAGAAGGGCATAATATGTGGAGCAGCTCAGGTATAATTGCATCTTTCTGAGTTTAGTCTAAACTATTATTGAGGCTGTCTGTCTCCAGGCTTGAGAATTAAATGTTTGTCAATCTTGGTTTATTCAGTATGGTGGTTGGATCACTCACAAGCAAAACAGCATACTCAAATACAGGTGTGCAGCTGGTTTTAATAGCGGTTTGATTTCAGATACAAAGAACTGTTATTAAACTTTTCTTAATTAGACTATACTAGTCTATTTGTAATCCAAATGCAAACAACCAAAGAAACAAAGCAAAGATGACAAGCACGGCATTCTTAGAAACCAGTTTAGCTGTCTCAGATTGCTAAATGGATTTTATACTTTTGCACAGGCTGACTGTGTGTTTGTGGCAAAATACAAAGCAAGAAAACAAATCAGAAAAGCACAATGACCGCAAGAAAATAAAAAACAAATGGTAAAGAAGCAAACAATCAGAGGAAAGGTAGTATTTCAGGAAATCTTTGATTTGCAAGACATGGCAATGAAAAAAGTGCTCCCCTGTTTCAAAAAATAAATAATGGAGAATTTGTCAATAAAAGAGACGGTCATATATTTTTGAAAAACAGTGAGTTATTTGCCCAGTTAGGTAATGCAATTAGTAAATCATAAACCACATGTTTCATAATCTTTGTCCCATTATGCTTAATATTTCATAATGTCTCTCTTTGTTGGAAGAAATAATAATTTTAGCTGCTGTCATTGTGAGAATGCTTGAATTGCCATCCACATTTCTGAAACAATACCAATCACAGACTTCTGATTACTTGTATTATGATGTTTCTTGTAGTATTTTTCTTGGTTAAGTAGTCAATGAAATTAATCAAGTATTATGTCATTGTACTTGACTAAGAGTAAGTGGAGCATGTCAGTAAATGGCACAAAAACATAATAATTAATGGATATATGTGTAGGTAACATGTTAGTTGAAGTGCAGGACCCCTATTGCCCCTAGGTGTGAATGTATATGGCTGTGTGTCTGCCCTGTGATGGACTAGTGACCTGTTCAGGTTGTTTCCTGCCTTCTGCCCAATGACTGCTGGTATGGGCTCCAGCACCCCCTGCGACCCAAGAGGATAAGCAGCTTAGATAGGTTGAGTGTGTATTTATTGTAATATTAGTGTTTCTTTCTGAACAACATTTTAAATCTAATTTTCTCAGGTGCCTAAAGCTTTTGCACAGTATGTACACAGATGTCATTAGTGGGCCTCAGAGAAAAAAACAAATACCAAAAGAAATGTAGGCCTCTTTAACTATTGTAACGTATCTCAGAACATGAGGGACTTTGTTAAATAACAAATAAGTTGTGCAAAGGTTGAGCAGAGGACTGATAGTGTTTCATTAAAGTGTTTATATATAACCCCCAGAGACACATATCTCACGCTCTAACACCACCTTTGCATTGACAATTGTCAATTTGCTGAAACCATGTGAACAGAAACTAAGATCTACAAGACTAATGCAATAACCAATAAATGATCAAAATAGTGGCATTTCTGGCACAGAAATAAATCTTTTCTGCCACATCTAAAATCCAAAGCACGTAACATCGATGCGTTATTAAGAATAGTCATCAGTACCATACAAATAATTTTCCTAATAACCGTTTTTGTGGCAAAACAAACTTGGCTTTCATTAAAAATAGCACCCAAAACAGATATTTTTTACATAACAAAAGCATTTATGTTTTGTACCATTGACAATACATCTTTATAATGGTTTAATTTCTGATATATTTAGTCCCAGTGCACATACAGTTGTCTTTTTTATGCTTTTTTATAAATCTCTGGTTATGTATGTAACCATTGTTCTGTGACTGAAGACCACTAGTGGTGCTACAAGTAATGTGGACAGAACCTGAGGCATCCATACAATGAAGAAAATGGAGAAGACTCCGATTAAAAATTTAAGTAATGTCAGTTTCAAAGTCGATATGAAAGACAGCATTTATACACGTGTTCATTTTCAGGGTGGCACAGTGGCGCAGTGGGTAGTGCTGTTGCCTCACAGCACGAAGGGTCTGGGTTTGATTTCCTGGCTGGGCAACAAGGGTCCTTTCTGTGTGGAGTTTTCATGTTGTCTTTGGGTGCTCTGGTTTCCTCTCACAGTCCAAAGAAATGCTGTCAGCCTTCTTTCTTGGTTAAAATAGTCAATGAAATTACAAAATAATGTGTCATTGTGCTTGACTGAGAGGAAGTGGAGCATGTCAGTACATGGCAAAAAAAGCATAATAATTCAGTTGTATGTGTAGGTAAGATGTTAGTTGAAGTGCAGCACCCCTATTGCCCTTAGGTGTGACTGTGTATGTCTGTGTGTTTGCCCTGTGATGGCCTAGTGACCTGTCCAGGGTGTTTCCTGCCTTACGCCCAACGAGTACTGGGATAAACTCCTGCAACCTAGCGTCACTAATCAGCTCTCAGGATCAGCTTAGTTAGATAAATATCAGCTGATCACTGATCGCATATTGGTGCATAGACTTGTAAGCATGCCTGATGACAGCAGACAAATAGCTGGTCTGACTGGCAAAAGGCTGCAGTGGCAGACAGGTACAGGTAGAGTCTCAGCGCCTGAACTGGGCATAGTAATAGTAAAAGCAGGCAATGTGATAGGCTGATTGACAAACTGAGAAGATAGAACTCTTGGAATAGATGTAGGGCTGGGCCAAAATGTCAGACTCTTGTCCTCAGGGTACCATCTCATGCATGGGGGGCTGATGCAGAGAGAACATAATTCACAGACTTATTTAGCTGTTGTAATTGCTAGAAAGGCTGTTTAAGTGATAGCCACTTTAATTTGCACCACTGGCCAGAGCAAAAGGAGCTTTGTACAAAGAGGCTAACACCAGAAGCAGGTCCCAAGGTGGGCTAGCGGGTTGTTTCTGTGGGTATAGACATCTGGTACTCTTGAGGAAAGATGTAACAAACTCATGTGAACCTGAGGTGCAACCATGTACTTGTACATGATGGCCAGATATTGCTGCCAAATATACTTTTACTGTTGAGAGAAAGACCGAGGAGAAAGACCCTTATCCAGCTAGCTCTGTAAGTAATCCAGAACCGTGAGTAATGGATCTTTGATTGGGTCTGTAGCTTGAATATAATGCCACTGTGAAATATAATCTCCACCTATACGAATACATGACACGAGTGGTAGGTGCACTGGCATTCAGCAGCATGTGTCTCATGCTCGATGTGCAATCCATAAATTGTGCTCTGGCCTCATCAGCTGTAGATGGCCTGGCCAGGGGTTTAGCACTGTGTCACCCTGTTTGGGAAGGGAAGAGGCTTCCTTGATAGCTGTGATATTTGAGGTGTAAACCAGGGTCTCGCTGGCCAATGGGGGCAATCAACAGCACTCAATGCTGCTATTGTTGGAACCTGTGTAGTGTTGGCCAGAGGAGTGGAGGCGGAGGAACAGCACATAACAGATGATTGGGCCAACTGTGTGCCAAGGGCATCCTGGCCCAACGGGGTGCTGCAGTCTGCTTGGCCAAACTAGAGAAGGTGGTGTGTTGAATGAGCATTTGTGAACAGGTCCACCTCAGCTCTGCCTTACATATCCCATATCATCTGAACTGTCTCTGGATTTAATATCCAGTTTCCCAAAGAAATCTGATGGTGGAAAGTGTATTAGGTGCTTGATTTTGGTGACCGGGCAGGTGAACCACATGGA